AAAGGGGTAAAGGGACACATGATAAAATTCACGTCAGATGTAAGTGCGGAAAGTGCGGGTGGAAGGGTTACAATCCTCAGGAATGCACAATGGAGGTAGAGTTGTGTCACCGTTGTCATCAGCCCGGACATATCAGGGCAGGTTGCCCCCGTGTAGTTGTTAAGGCAACTCAGGTTTCTTAACAGATACTTCAGCGAAGGGAGGGAGTTCAGGTCTCAATGCCCATGGTTCCGCAGGAAGTCAAGATCGAGCCACAATAGATCGCTGGTATGTATTTCAAATTCAAATTATGTTTATGATTTTATTGTTATGGTATTGCATTGATGTTAGTAAGTGTATTTCAGAATGTTATGTTTCATGCTTGTGATTAAGTCATATGCCATCTGCATACCTTAGATGTTAGAGTAGTAGTTCGAAGATGTTTCCTTGTGAGCAAGTTCTCAGGATGCAGTCACTGTAGCAAGTGTGAGAGGGGATCAGGAGGTATTCTTTTAGTCTTTCAGATTGGTTTAGATTCGGTATTGGTTTGTTTTTGAGCATTAGCAATAGTAAGTATTGGTTGTCAGGAGGTCGACCATTAGATGGAGAAAAGGATTGAGAATCCTTATCAAGCTGTAAGGAGCTAGTGGAATCAAAGTGAGGGAGAACCATCTGAGTGATCAGAAGTAGAAATAAGTGCGAGACTGGATTGGGTTTGCATCATTGTTGAGGAGGAAAGCAGCCCAAGTGGTTGTTTGGATGGAGGAGCACGTGGGCGGGGAGTTGGGGAAAACTTCCCGAAGTTGAGTTCGTATATGCACAATTAGTTGATGACTGGTTGGGAAACCAGGCTAGAGATTTTTCCATCAGAATGGGAGACGTTTAAGTGGTCGTCTTGATTAAGGATTGGATTAGCGGAGAGTTCAGAAAACGTTCCAAAAATTGGTTTACGCTTTTCCTAGGCTTTGGGAAGCAGGTTTCAGGAACCAGGTTAGGGCCCCAGTTAAGACTCAAGTGCAGTTGAGTGTTAGGTCGAGAGTGTTATAAGTCTGCAGGTGCAGCTATAGCATTTACTAGTAGCCAGATAGTGTTAGAATATTGTAAGTCTGCGGGTGTAGCCGTAGTATTCACTAGCAGCCAGATAGTGTTAGAATGTTGTAAGTCCGCGGTTATAGCTGCAGCATTCACCAGTAGGTAGACAGTGTGGGAAGTGTAGTGAGGCAACAGGATGACCGTAGTATTCATGTTAGTTGATGGTTGGTTTGGAAAACCAGGTTGGAGGATCACCAGTAGGACTCGAGTGAGTCAGGATGCAAATTGAGGGAATGACTGGCATGGGATGTTTTCGGATTAGTAGTCAGTGTAGAGACAGCATGGAGAGTGTGGTAAGACTGCGGGATAGCTGCAACATTTGTTAGTAGCTAGTTAGAGGAGTATGGGCGGGGGCCCGTATCTCTTAGATAGAGGAGTATGGGCGAGGGCCCGTAACTCCTAGTTAGTGGAGCGTGGGCGAGGCCCGTATCTCCTAGTCAGCCCAATGGAGATCAAGAAAGGATAGTTCGTTGAGGATTCGTGATGGTTTAGGACCCGCGTAGCCCTAGATAGGTGAGACCAGGGGCAGGGTTGTCATTAGTATGGGTTGGGTGAGACCCGTGGGCGAGGCTCGTGAGATATTAGCAGCGCAGGTGGGACATGCTAGAGACCTTAGAGTCAAGATAGGGGATCTAAAATCATCATGTCCAATTTCTAGGTTTGAGGGCAATCTGAAAGGACTATGTTACTATCAATTCAAGTACATATCAATTTTAGTTATGGTCTTAAACACCTAATCCAATATATATATATATATATATATATATATATATATATATATATATATATATATATATATATATATATATAATATAATATAATTTATTTAATAAATATATTTTAGTATCAAATTTGTCATTTAATTTAAGGAAAATAACATATTAGGGTAATGAACTTTTGTTTTTGTTCACATTTAGTCATTTTTTGTACACTATTTACCATTTAACTTCTTTTAGGTGTTCACAAAAATCATTGCAACCTGCTATTCAAGGTTTCCAGCAACTTCGTCATCTCTGGCGACCTTTTGTTCATCTTCTTCGACGAGTTTTCTGGCCAAACTTGAATTTTTCAACGACTTTGTCATCTCCAGAAACCAACGAGTTTGAATGGTTCCAAATTTGTGGGTTTGAAGAGTTCTAGATTTGTGGGTTAAGACTCAAATGGTTCCAGATTTGTGGGTTTAAACTCGAATGAAGATGTATGGTTCCAGAAATCATTCATCAGGAGGTTGCTCATCAACTTTAGTTTTCGATTTCTAAGGTTTCAGTACTCATTCCAAGAATAAGAATACGAACCCATAACACATAGATTTCTAGATTTGGTTTCTACCATGATTATAAATTCAAACCCATTTTCCAGAGCTGGACCTTCAAATCGATTTTATCCATGGAGTGTGTGTCAGATCTAAAAAAACAAGAAGGGGTGTATGTGTGTGCCGGAAATCGTTCTAAATCATTTCATGTTCTTCATCAGCTTTGATTTGCGATTTATGGGGTTTCAGAAATTGTCCCAAGAACAAGAACGAACCAAAAACACATAGAACGAACCATGAATACACATCTGAAATCGTTCCTGAATCTGATGAACACACATCTGAAACCAACGATTTTTGGAATGAATCTGATGAACACACATCTAAAATCAATTTTTGGAGACAAATCTGATGAACACAAATCTGATGAACAAATTAGATGAACACAAATCTGATGAACCAACGATTTTTGGAATGAATGTAATGAACAAACATCTGAAATCGCCGCAAAATTCATATTCTTGCTGGGAAATTCATATATCAACCGATAAAATTAAACTTGACCAGCTAAACCTAAAATAGTTGGTCATAATGATATATATGAATACAAACAACAAGTTCGATGATAAAAACAAAATGTGAATAATATCAGGTTGGTTATCCTCTCGGGTCATTTTCTCTTTAATTTATAAGAAATGTATTTTACTATCAACACTTTCATTTATAAGTTCAACTTTATCATTAACAATTTTAATGATTATAAACGATTTTAATAGGTATATTTAAGTGTTTGTAGTAAGTTGGATCACTTAAAAGAAACTATTATTTTGAAAATATTATGCATGAAATAGAAAAATGTTATGAACCCCGTCCAAAAAGTTATAATTATGTATCAATTGTTTGTAGTGTCAAGAGTTTGTACCTTACAAAAAGTAATGCTCTTCAATATGGATCCACCTTATGGATTCATCTCGACTCATATATATGGATCCACTTTAAAGGAAAGAGATGCAGTAGAAAGTTTGATGGGGAAAACACTAAATAGTGTGGTGTTGCATACCCACGACAGTGTGTTGCATAAAGTGATCATAACAAGCCTAAAAAAAAGGTTCAAATCCATTCACAATTTAAAATGTCGTAATAATCATCTCTAGTTTGTAGTGTGGATGAAAGATTTCGATAATTAGTGAGATAGTGACAATACATGGGTAAAACTTTTGAGCAGTTATAAGTTTTTTTTTTTTTACTCTCTAACGTGTGATAGGGTTTGGAAACTGTTGCGTATCATGCAAGAACATGCAAGACGGAAACAATAAAATCTAGACAAGTTCTAGCAAACGAATAAGGTGAACACAAAAAGGTGGACAGCGTTTATTATCGGGAAATCTACAGAAAAGTCTTAAATTTTAGTAAAAGTTTCAATAAAGTGGTAAAAGTTTTTTTTAACAGAAAAGTCTCATTATTTTGAGAAAATTATATAATCTGTCATTTGTTGTTCAAATATACAAAATAGCTTTTTCGTTAATTTTGGTAAAATGTTAAATAATCAGGATTTTTCTGTTAAAAAAACTTTTAAGATTTCATTGAAATTTTTCCCAAAAGTTTAACATTTTTCTTAGATTTCCCTTTTATTATCATATTTCAATGTGTCAAACATAACAATCTATTCTTCTTTCATAGGAGACTAGGTGTCAAACATAACAATCTATTCTTCTTTCATAGGAGACTAGGATGTTCTTATTTTTCCTGTAATCTCTTTTGTGTTCTTTTATTTTTTTTTAATAAAATTTGTTAGAGACTCTACCTCTTTCAAAAAAGAAACATATATCCTAATTCCTAAATAGAAAAGGCAACATATGTAGTAATAATTTAGATTATTACTACTTTTATCCTATTGAATAAAAACCATAATCTATAATAAAATCAAACTATAGAACTAAAGTATATTATATAATAGAATATATTACTTGAATTCAATCCTTTTTCCACATTCCAACGATCCATAGGCGAATTGGCGAGGGCTTTTGTTGGTAACTCAACATGTTTTATATTTTCTATGGTTTGAGATAACGGTGTTTTAATATGTTAGTTTTTCATATTTGTTTAAAGGGAAAATAACTTATAAGCTCAAAGAAGTTTTCAAACGGTTCAAAAAACTCAATCATGTTTTATTTGTTCAAAAACACCCAACAAACTTAATTTTTATCTAAAAAAACCCCAACTAACTTACACTTTCGTTCACTTCTCATTTAAGATTAATCAGCTAATGAAAATCAACGAATGACACGACTAATGAAAATTTGTTCGATTAATGTTTTTCGTATATTTTTGGAGGGAATAAAAAGTAACTAATAGAAAATTGACTAACGCTAATTTTATTGTTCTTTTTGATTAAATGGATTTAAAATGCAAGCTTGTAATCTACATTTTGTTAAATGTATTTTAAATACAAGAATGTATAGGTTGTTTTTGTTTAGATGAATTCTAAATATATTCTTATTTTTATTGCAATTCAATATTACTTTTTTTATACATTATTAACTTGAATTGAGCTCAAAAGTATTCAATATTTTACTAATATTTCATCATATTTGTATAGAAAAAAAAAATAGATATACATAGGTACGTTGCTGCTAAGCACAAAAATAAAGAACTAACTTGCCTTTTTTTTATCCAGTCACTAAAAATAGACAAAAAAAAATTATGTTAGTTTGTCATTTCAGAACGAACACCAGAAGGCATAACACTAGTTATATAATTGATCATCTTTTCAAAAAAAACATTAAACTCACTAACCACTATGCATTATAAAATCATAGACCAATTTGTAAATTTTTGCACCCAAAATAAAGCACCTCTAACATTACACTATCGAACCTTTACAAGGATTTTTTCAACATTTCACTCTATATTTTCAGTCTGTTAGAAATTGTTCAACTATTGTATATCTATCCAGATAAATAAATAACACGTGCATCCGTATTTCTACATTTACAACATCAAAAGAAAACACTCTATGACATAACCTCAAGAGCCTCTCGTGTTTTCCCAAGCACATTGAATACGGTTGCAGCTATATGTGATGGGGTTAGCCCGGCTTCAGCCAATTGGTCCGCAGGTGCACCATGGTCTATGTAACGGTCCGGAAGCACCAATGGTCTCCACTGCAAAATTCAAAGCTTCAGTTCCATGCTTTGTCAATAAAAAGAAACGATGTGGTGTTGTTTTTTTTTTTTTTTACTTAATAGATTTAATAGGACATAAAGAAAAAAGTAGCATGAATGTATGTATGTATGTATGTATGTATGTGTACCTTTAAGTTTCCATCAAGAAGGCCATCTAATGCCATAAAATGTGCAACATGAGAGCCGAAACCTCCGATTGACCCTTCTTCAACCGTTATCAAGACCTCATGTGACTTTGCAAGGGCCCGAATAAGAGCATGGTCTAATGGCTTACAGAAACGCGCATCTGCAACGGTTATATTTAAGCCACGATCTTTTACTAATTCGGCTGCAGCCATACAGCTCTGAACAGCTGTTCCATAGCCTAGAAGTGCTACGCGTTGCCCTTCCAGCATTATTCGACCTTTTCCAATCTATTTTCCATATAAAAAAATAAATGAATACATCATCGACCATGGGGGACAAAAAGGTAATTTTGCTTAAAGTTATAAAAAAGAAGAAGAAAGTACCTCGAGAGGAATGCCTTTGTTTCCGGGTGGCAACGGCACGCCGATTCCATTGCCTCGTGGGTACCGGAAACAGCTGGGTCTGTCATCAATGGCGGCGGCGGTTGCCACCATGTGAAAAAGCTCAGCCTCATCGGAAGGTGCCATCACCACCATGTTAGGGAGGCATGCCATGTAAGTGACATCGAATGACCCTGAATGTGTGGGGCCATCTGCGCCAACAAGACCCGCTCTATCCATTGCAAATCTCACTGGTAGCTTCTGCAAATCAACATCGTGCACCACCTGTTTTAACACACCAAACAATACCATAAAAAACAGAGTGATTAATTGGGTTTTAGGGTAAAAAAAGACGAAAATAATCGAAGAAAGTTTGTAGGGTAAAAAAGGGGGAGAAGCCAAGAAGGAATGACATGCCTGATCATAACCTCGCTGTAAGAAGGAAGAGTAAATTGCACAGAATGGTTTAAGGCCTTCACACGCCAATCCAGCAGCGAAAGTAACCGCATGTTGCTCTGCAATTCCGACATCAAAACACCGACTTGGGAATCGCCTGAGGAACAGATTCATCCCAGTTCCGCCGCCCATCGCCGCATGGATTCCGATGATTTTCTTATCCGCCTCCGCTTCCGCAATCAACGCCTCCGCAAAATAAGTCGTGTATGATTGAGTCGGAGCACTCGATTTAAATTGTTTTCCTGTTGCAGGGTCAAACTTCCCCACACCTGAAACAGATACAATAATCGACTAAAATATTGTTTCTTTTTACTTAAATGACTCAATATAGAAATATCAAACAATTGAGGTTTTCCTTTCATTTTTACTATTACATCATTGTCCTTTTATACTTCTTCTTAAGTCATTGTACTTAAAAAAGTCTACCCAATTATTGCATTGTAGTTTCAATTTTTTTTTTTTTCTTTTTAGTGCATTATGCTTTGCCAATGCTACCCAATTACAACATTCAAAATTTCTTTGTATTTTGATGATTTTGCTATGCATTGATAGATTTTTAAAAATGTAATATTGTAATAGGAAGAAACAATAGTAGGATGCTATAATAGGAAGAAATGAAAGTAGGATAAACGAAAGTATGTTGTTATTTTTTGATTTTAACGAAATCAAAGGAAGTAGAAGTACCATGGTACTTGTCGGCTGCTTTTTCAGCATAAGGGTATCCTCGTCCTTTCTCAGTGATTACATGAATAAGAACGGGGCCCGTTGTCTTAGTACTCTTAACCTCTTTAAGAATAGCAACAAGATCATCAATGCTATGTCCATCAACTGGCCCAATGTAATATAGACCGAGTTCTTCAAATAATGATGAACCCGAACCACTAATCATTCCCCGAGCATATTCATCAACTTTAGCAGCAAGTTCATGCATCGGCCCACCAATTTGTTTTGTAACTTCCTACATTCCAAATTAAGTGCTTAACCCATTAAGTAAAAAAAGGAACAGAGTCTTTAAAGATATTAAAACAGAATTTATTATTATGAAGTGATAACAAACCTTGGCAACTTCACGTAATTCTCTAAGAGGGCGATTAGATTGTAACCTACTAAGGGCACTGCTTAAAGCTCCAACAGGAGGTATAGGCCCATCAAGATTTGCAGTAGGTAATGAGACTTGTTTATTGTCATTAAGAATCACAATCATGTCTGAATCCAAATAGCCAGCATTGTTCATGGCTTCATAAGCTTGTCCAGCTGTCATGGCACCATCACCAATAATAGCAACCACATCGTTTGTTCCTCCTTTTAAATCCCTTCCCACAGCCATTCCTGCTCGTTTCAAAATGAACATGAATTAGGTATTAAAATTTAAAAGTAAGAATAACATTTGTCCCTAAAAAGTAATAAAAAGTGCAAAATTTAATGATTAAATAGAAGAAATTAGTTAATTACCTAACCCTGCTGAAATGGTGGTAGAGCTGTGCCCTGTGCCAAAGCAATCATGTTCGCTTTCGGCGCGTTTAGTGAACCCTGCCAGCCCGTTTGTTTGTCTTATTGTGTGCATTCGGTCCCTTCTTCCGGTCAAGATTTTATGTGGGTAAGACTGCGAAACACATTATAGTTCAATTCAAATACAACCACAATCACAGTATCAGGGTCCCACAACCAACATGAAAAAAGTAAATCGCAGTATCAAGGTCTCACAACCAACATGAAAAAAGTAAATAAAAGTACCACGAATGGTCCCACAACCAACATGAAAAAAAGTAAATCGCGGTATCAAGGTCTCACAAGTCACAACCAACATAAAAGTAAATAAAAGTACCACAAATGGTCCCACAAGCAACATGAAAAAAATAAATCACAACAATGGGTCCCACAACTAACAAAAAAAAAGTAAATCAAAATGGGTCCCACAACCTAGGTAAAAATAAATCAACTATCCTATAGTAAAAAAGGTGATGTGCAGCTTGGATTATTTGTTTTTTACAAACATGTGGGACAGTATTCTAAAAGTATAATACCATAATAGGTCACCTGATGACCGACATCCCAAAGGATCTTATCTTGAGGGGTGTTGAAGACATAATGAAGAGCCACCGTGAGCTCCACCACACCAAGGCTCGAACCCAAGTGGCCACCGGTCTTTGAAACATTGAAGATCACATCAGATCGAAGCTCATCAGCTAATTGCTTCAGTTCCTGCATCAAACAGTGTGAAGATAAACGGTTTTGAAATCCCATTTGCAATTCAAGATTCAAATTCAAAATCATAATCGTTAGCATATTCAAATCAATTCCAACTCAAACCAGTTTTTTACTTAAATCCAAAATTGGCTTGATTGGTTAACGTTAACACTTCGTTTTCAGTAAATTTAGTAATATTATTGCAAAATTAGAAGGTGGGTGAGATGAAATTTACCTTAATTGACAGATTTTTCATGTGAATTGGGTAGTTGATAGTGTCCAAAAGTGGAGTCGGAGGCCTCTGCGAGTAATACTCAGCTCTCTCCGACAGTGTCGCTCGAACCCCACCTACTTTTTTACTTCCCTGCTCGAAAGCAATCAAAATCCAAATAAACCATTCTTCTAACGAATCACAAACTCAAAGTAAATCATGAAAACTGAACGTATCAAACCTGATTGAAGGTCTTGTGTGAAGATGGAGGCTGTTGTAGATCCGTTCCAAAGAAGCAATGTTGAAGCACAGGCATATGTGAAGTAAGCGACCGGTGATTCAACTGTCCAGGGAATGCAAATGCACAAAGCGCCATGACAAAAAAGCTTGGTTTTGTAAAGACGATTAAGCAGAATCGAGTCGGAAAAGGGGAAAAAAATCAGAAATGTATGATCGTAATGGAGACAAAGATAGTAATCGGGGAGAAAGTAGAGGTGCTTGAGAGTGTTTCGTGGTGGATTCAGCGGCGGTAGTGGTGGGGGTTGTAGTGGCGGCACTGTTAAATCCGGTGTGTGCGTGATGAAACGGAACTTTGGCCGATGCTTTGTAATAATGGACAAGTGTGGGAGAAATGAAATCTTAAGCTATTTGTTATTGGTCCACGTCATCAGATATCACATTGTATGGATAGCAACGATTTGATGATAATGGTTCGTCACTCACTTATTTATAATAACTATGTTATGCACTTTTATTCTTATAATAAATTATAGTAAAAAACAAAACCTATATAGTTGAACACTCTATTGACTTTAAAAAATATTATCTCGTATAAATGATTTTTGAATTAATGTAACTAGTTGGACGTGTTTACTTGTCTACCGTTTAGGCTATAAGATAAATAAATTTGAAAATATAAAATAAAGCATTTATTATTTGTAACCATAAATTTCAAGTCAAAGTACAAGAGAAAACGAAGATGATAACCAATCTCTTCAAGCTGTTTTAGAAAGACAAAATTATAAAAATAATCCTTGTATATGTATTTTTTTGGAGTTTTAATTAAAATAATGATTTTTTGGTTTTGTGGTTCTTTTGGACTTAATGTGAAAATAATCCTTTCGAAAATTGAAATTACTATAATACCTTTGGGGTATTTATTTTTTATTTTTTTAATTTAATATTTATTTATTTATTTTTAACAATTAAACTCTAACCCCCTCTCTCTCATACACACACACAACAACAAACACAAACTCAATTAATTAATAACCAATATTCCCTTTCTTTCATACTCAATTAATTAATAACCAATATTCCCTTTCTTTCATAAATAATCTGGTGATCAGAAGCACACAGAAAAGAAATTCACAATTTCTACATCCAGTTCAAATAAGAAATCCTCCTGTGCTCAATCGAACTATCCTCATTTTCCAAGTATCGATTTTTGTATTGATTGCAAGGCGAGGAAGGGGCGCGTGTACTACCGTTTGTTTCCTCCTCTCGCACCATCGTTGCCTACTCATTCCCTTCTTTGTCCTAACCCGTTTTCCCTGTCATCGCCGCCAATACGCCTGCTCCTTCCCTTCTTTGCCCTAAATCCTAACATGAACTGACTGATTTCTCTCCATCAGACGCCAATGAAGAACTTTGGATAGTCCAACTATTTATGCTTGGAATTCATCAATATAGCTCCCGCTTCCATTACTTTTACTTTAATTTTTGTTCCATCGTGTACTTCACTCTTGTAAACAAACCCCAAATCCACTGCAACCCAATTCGTGTTCATTGTAGAAGTTTTTGGTTACGTTTTTAGAACTTAAACAGAGAAGGGGAAACGATCCTCGTTCCAGGACATTTAGTAGGAGCAGGTAATGACGCCATTATTGATGCATGTGTTGGAGCATTATGCTTCTTTAATTGGATACTGACCAATATGGGTGGAGAACTCATCGGCTCTGCAACAGGTTTTATTATAGGTTTGATTTTGATTTTAGGTCATATCGGTGATGTTTCCCCTTTTGTATCTAAAAAATCGATTCCAAAAGTGGTTTATACGGGGGTGGGGAGTTGTTGGGAGATGAAGGTGAAAGAATGGGGTAATATGTCTGATTGTAGGTGCAATAGGTCGGTCTTGTGTTCGATATATGGGTTCATCAACGTGTGTGTGTGTGTGTTGAATCAAGTACATTAGTGTGTGAAAACTCATAACAAGTTGAATCAGTGTGTGCAATTAATTGAATCGATGTGTTGTGCGTTGAATATGTTTTTTGGATGTATGTGTGTGTCTTTTAAAACGAAACCTTGAATTTTTGTTTCTAAAAGATAAATAGATAAATGAAGAATGTATCTCCAACTGGTTAACCCAAGAAACCTGAGTTCATGAACAAACAAGAGAGAGAGAGAGAGAGAGAGAGAGGTCCTTTATTATTTTTTTAATTGTTAAGTAAATAAATTTACAATTTAAAAAAAAATGAAAAAAAAATGAAAAATAAATACTTAAGGGTATTATAGTCATTTCAATTTTCGGATGGACTATTTTCACATACAAACTAGTCCAAAAGGACCACGAAGCAAAAAAAAATTGTGGTTTGGACTAAAATGCCCAAAAAATGTATACAATGGGGACCATTTTTGCAGTTTTGTCTTCTAAAAAATAGCAAAAAATCAACAAAAAAAAAAGTTCTCAAGTAGCTCTAAATTTTGTAGGTTATCATCTCTGAAAATCTTGATGGCTTGCATTTTTTTCGCCAAAAAGATGTCATTTTGGTAATTGTTCACTGCGAAAAATGTTGGTTTAAGTTTTGTGACACTTTCATACGAAGTCTGTTTGAGTTGGATATAAATACGTTACGATTGTTTGAAGTTAAAGTGGAAATTTGGGCTTTGTCCTACACAGGGTGTAGCAAAGTTACGCAGGGCGTAGCTGCTACAAATGACGTAACTAATGAAAGGTCTAGCATGATCAAGATTCATATTAAAGTGATATTGTTAATTAACATATGATACTAATGGGTCACAATAACAACAACTTGATACAATTGATTATTTATTAGAAATTGGTTTTAATAAATATTCAGTAAACTCTTATAATTAAAGTTGAAATTATATATTTCTAGGGAATAACAATTTTCATTAGCAAGTAACATTATATATAATTCATATGGTATGAATTAATAAATCATGCATAACATTTTAGACTAGACAAATTCTTTTGTCTTTTACCAAAAAGTTAAAGTTTATATTTTATAAACTTGTTTTATAAAATATAAAGCTTTTGTCTTCTTCCTTTTATTATTTATAAAATAAGAGTCAAAAAGGAAGAGTATGGTTTTCTAGTTATTTAAATGAGAGAATGTTACTTTGAATATTTAAATAAGATTATGGTTTTTTGATTATTTAAATGAAATAATGACTTTTTGATTATTTAAATAAGGGGATGGTCTTTTGGTTAGTTTGTAACGACCCAATTTTCAAGAGAAATTTTTCATTTTGAATTAATCAAAAACATTTCCAATAGTCATAAGATCTCAAGTACATTTGTTTTCAAATTCATAACATCAATCAATATTGTTCCAAAGATAAGAGTGTTCCATAAAAACACCTGAGAGAGAGTGCATACTACGTCATCAAGACTTGCCCTTGCCCTTAGGCTCAAATGTAACCTGAAACGAATCCACAAATTGTAAGTTAATGTTTAATGAGTTTCCCAGAGCATACTGTCATACCCCCAAACCGGAACGGCGGAAACGTTCGGAGGCGAAGGACGTCATGTTTAGTATCACAACACATGTATCATAGTAAGCATAGTAACAAACAACCATTGTATTAATATTAAAGTCTTTACATAGTAGTGATTCACAACAGATTGAATCCAAAAAGTAAATAACAAAACAATACATGAAGTTACTATACTTCATCTTCTGAATCCCAATATGCGTACCTGTCTACTAGTTTCCTGAGACTACAAGTTATTTGAAAAGAGAGTAGATCAGCATTTAAGCTGGTGAGTTCATAAGGTTTAAGTGATGTAAAGTAAGTTGTAAGTTATTTTAGAAAAGTTTGCATGTTCCTCCAGAAAATTCTATATTTTCTGATATGCTGAATGAAAGTAAAAATGACTCTACAATTCCTTCTATGAGTACTAAATGGATACAAGTTATATACAATTTAGAGTAAACAAACAATCGATTGTGTGAATCTGACCTAAGCCCACAACCAAACAAGGAACAGGGAATGAGGCAGAAGTCACACATCCCATTGTTTGTTAGATCTTTACTGTATATAACCTTGGTGTATTTATTTGTTACTTACGGAGTTAACTGTAATAGTTCTTTATATTTGATGAAAACATTCTTTAAGAAAATACTATATTCCCTTTAGTAAAAATGGTAACCACAATAGTTCCTTCTATAAGGACTTGGTTTATACAAGCTATATATAATCTAATATCGAACGGACAGTTAAATGGGTGAATCTGCCCTAAGCCCACAACCAAACAAGAAACAGGAAGTAAGGCGGAAAGCACACATCCAACTACCTATCGGATATTAATTACGTATAACCCTGATGTATAAACTGAGGTATTATAGAGTTAACCACTAAAGGTCCTTTAACTTATATTGTTTTAATAAAATGAATAAAACCCTTTTACTTATAAGTTTCTAGTTTAGCCTACTAAATGTTCTATCGGAAAAGTATGTTTTTGTACTAGAAAACGGTATATTGAATTTGTATACTATGACCTGACTTATACTTTGTACTCCTTATGATTACTTGGTGTATACGGAATAGATATATAGCTAAGATCGAATAGATAGTAGACTGGGTGAATCTGCTCTAAGCCCACAACCAAACAAGGATCAGGAAATGAAGCGGAAAGCACACATCCTACTGTCTGTCGGACCCGATTAATATATATCCTGATGTATCTACTGAGGAATCATAAAGTTAGCATTATAGGCCCCCTTTTTACTGAATATTTGTCACACCCCAAAACCGAGAACGGCGGAAACGTTCTGGGGCGGAGGACGTCATGTAAGTATCACAACACAGTAAATGTAAATAAGCAAACAACATCATCCATTGCATTAAATATATAATTTTAATACAAGCGTGTTCTGTATAGTATAGACACTAAAAATAACGTATATCAAAATAATAAGATGAGTCTTGAATGCGCTCCATCTTCTCAAAAGCTGGCCTCGGTACCTGTCTACTGATGACCTGAGAATACAAGTTATTTTGAAAGAGTTTATCAGCATTAAGCTGGTGAGTTCATAAGTATTTTAGTGTCGGTATTTGTCATCCAAAAATGTTTGAACATGTATAAAGTATAAGTTTGTAAAATGTATGTAAAGATTTGCAATTGTTTGTAAAAGTTTGAATCTCTCAGAAAAACCTATATTTTCTATTAAAGTAGCCTTCTACCAAGGCTTAACTGTTTTGTATGCTCGTTTGATGTAAAAGTGTGTAATTTTCCAAATGCAACTATCACTAAAAATATGTAATGGGTAAATTATTGTAGTATTGTAGCCTTGTATTATAAGAACTACTGTTGTACTAACTACCTTAAACCGGATTTATATTAAGGCATTACGTGATAAATTGCACCATACTATCGACTAGTAACAACGACAAATGAATGGTCGTAATAACGGAATGACGTTTGGCACCCGCAGACCTGCAG